TTCCTGGGGGCTGATCTTCACAAAATGCCTGGGTCTTATCCTTCTGAAGATGTGTTTTAAAAGGTGTTGTACCACAGCTAAAAACTCTTCAGTTGGGGCCGGTCAGGTGGCATAGTGATGAAGGTGGCTGGATCCCCTATAGCCGACTGAGTTGTTCAAGTCCTGGACCCAGAAAGACATGTCAGGCACATGGGCATGCATGCCCAAAATCCCAAGAAGAAAATGGAGGACGGATTATGAAATGGTCATCCCCCTGGGGGACTGGCTTTTCAACTCTCTCTCTCTCCCCAGTGGGTACACATGCCCTATAGCAAAATAAAATAAAATAAAATAAAATAAAATAAAATAAAATAAAATAAAACTCATAGTCAGCATGGGAGAGAGCTGTGAGCTAGTGTCACTCCCAGGATCATTCTGATCATCCTCGCTGGACACCACAGAGGCAGGAGAGTGGTTTTACTGAAGCAGCTGAGCAATGGCTGCTACTTGTGACTGGACCTCTGGTCCTCCATCGAGTTCCTCTGCATAGAACACACCATACATCTATCATTGCCACCTCCATGAAAATTGAAATTAGTAATGTAAAAATCCCAAACACTTCACTGATGCTTACTTAAAAAGAAGCAGCTGTGGAAGTCCAGATTCCAGAAAGGTGAGATTTTCAATATAGAAAAAGAAATGCAAGATTACAAAGTAGCGCAAGTTTGATCAGAAAGCTGTTGACTTGCAAATTTTATCAAAAATTAAATCTGTTCCTTGGCTCTAGGACTTCCTGTGATCTGTGTTTGCACCTAAAAATGGAGTTTATCCTCACAAACTGGTGTTCTAAATTTCTTACCAAAAACTTAATTAAATAACTGAGAGTACAAAACAAACAAAAAAGGTGAGAAAGAATTCCCCGTAGGGAACGGTCACTTGGCAAGCCCTTCTCCGTTCCTCCCTCCTTCTGGGGTTCTGGTTATGCATGCACAGGTGCCCAGTGTGCTTCTCAAGCCACTGGGTCCAAGACTTAAAAGGCACAGTTGTTCTTGTGGGATCCAGCTGCCTTGACCTTCATACCGTGAGCTGACTTCAGCTGGGTCCACCCTTTGTCGTAAAGTGCAAAGGCAGGAAAATAGGTGCCTTGGAGTCTTTATTCCTGTCCTTAAAAAGAAGGCAGTGGAGCACAGAGGAAAAAGCTCTAACTTAAGGATCAGATGACCTGCAATCTATTCATAGATCTGGCTCTGCCAGATACTAGCTTTGAGAACATGAACAAATGGATGAACCTCTAAAGTTTCAGTATTTTTAACTGCAGAAGAGTATAAGAAATAATAAGACATAGAAGATGATCAAGTAAACTGCGAGGCATTCTGCATACGGAAGAAACCATTATGACTACCTTATTACTACTAGATGGGTCGCAGAGCGTGCTCTGGGGTGAGAATCGTAAATGACAAAGCACACTTGAAAACTCTAGTACTGACTGGTTTGAGTTCCTTTTTTCCATTTAAAGAACTGAAGCCTCCCCTTTCCTTTTTGAAGATTTATTTTTATTTACCTTTATTTATTTGTTTACTTATTTTAATTTGCCCAGAGAGAGACAGAGAGAGAGTGAGAGAGAGAGAGAAAGAAAGAAAGCCGCCAGGTCCAGGATTTGAACTGTAGTTGGCCATATGGGAGTATAACACCCTTAACCACCATGCCACCTGCAGGCTCCTTAAAGCCCTTTTTAGTGTGTTGCAAGGTTACCCTCTGGGGAGCTTCTCTGACCTCATACACCTAACCTACAATCTCATGGGTACTCACAGGAAGGCACTGATCCCATCACATATTCATCAGAGAACACAAATCCAAAGGAAATGAAGAAGAAAATCCAATTCTATTATCTTAAAAGAAGTCAATACTCAAGATGAGAGAAATATGACAGATTTCCAATATTCTAGGATGGAAGTTATTTATCTCTACTCTTAGTGGCAATTTGGAAATACTAAAAAATGCTGTGGTTAGTAAGTAGGATGACTGCTGTCAAACGACTGTCAATTTTACTCCTGACAAAGACATAAAAATATTTGCATGTTTTTCTGAGGAAAGTCAGAGGAAACATGGGAGTTCTTTGCAAGAACTGTGCCAGTTAATGACCTGCAAATGGCAGGCAGATTTTGAAAATTCACAATGAATGCACTAGATCACAGCTATTAAAAAGAGAAAACAGGGGACAGCAGATAACATAGTGGTTACATCGCTGGATTTCCACAGGGTCAATCATGGTTCAAGGCTTGGACCCGGCAGCGAACCCCCCACACCCCCCGAGTAATTTCTCACTTTCTGTCTCTCTGTGTCTCTGGTGAGCCTCTGCGCCCTAAAGCAAAAATCTCTAAAGAAGAAAAAGACAGAAAATAAATGCTCTATAGAGCCCAGCAGGCTAGCTGCTCAAAGGACCACTGCCTGCCACTCTGGAATGCAGTGACAGTAGTACAGGAAGTAAGCATGAAGACCATGAATGACTACATGATTATACATCTGTCCCAATCCCTGGAACGCGTAGGACAACCTGAGGAAATGCTTAAACAAAATGGTTAGTCTAGAGTTATCTCTGGCCTGGGCCCAGATTTGTTCAGCCATTTCAAAAGAGAATTAATAGTTCATGATGACTCTGCATTCTGAAGAGTATGTACTCATTAACAGGCTAAATATCCTTAGGTTTTCCAGTTTACTACTTGTTGAGAGATCGCTGAGTTGAAGATCACCAAACAGAGAACAGAGCAAACAAATGGTCAACCACAGACAGGCATAACAGTCTACTACATCGAGGGAGAAAACTTTGAAAAAGAGAAAAAAGAAAAAAAATTCATTCAAAAAATTATTTCAAAACTAACTTATTTCAAACTATTGACGATGGATAAAGTAGGAAGACAAAGGGAACTCTCCCTTTGGGTCATTTATGTCTTCAATTTGTATGAGCAAAAGCTAAAAATCATGGGAACCAGCAGTTAGCGTAATGGCTACGTCGCTGGACTTCCACGTAGTCGACCGCGGTTGGCGTCCCGGACCCAGTGGCTTAAAACTCACGCTGGGCGCGTGTGCGTGCATGCCCAAGATCCCGAGAGGAGAATGGAGGAGAAGGGATTGTGGCGTGACCACCCCTGGGGGGTGATTTCTCGCTTTCTGTCTCTATGTTTCTGTCTGTCTGGCGAGCGCACGCGCCCTATAGCAAAAAAACCTCTCCCCCAAAAAAAGAAAAAAAAAAACCTAAAAATCATGGGTCTGTGAAAATCAAAATGAAGTATTTCTTTCTCACTTGGCTAAATTTAACATGGGCAAACCAAACATTTTACTATTTGAGGTTACTTTCTAGGTTCAGAAAGCACTTTTCTTGTGGGCACAAAGGATAATGTGGGTGGTTCTTATTTACCTTTCAAGCTGAGTCACTAGATCTTTTAAGAAGCTAAATTTCAAAAAGTCGTAGAAGTAAACCAGATGCCTCGAGATAAGGTCAAACCTCCCAGGGGGGCGGGTCTATCTTATTTTCTATGTACATTTTACTGCAAGGGTAGCCTCAAGTAAAGAGGTTTACTTTGACCCTCTCCCCGCCCCAACCTTGCTGTGCTGCAATGAGGATGAAGTGGGCATGCAGGCCATCTCCCGCTTCACGCCAGGACCGGGCACAGGCACACGTCCCAGGGCGATCACCAACGAGGACTGGCGCCTGAGGAACCGCACTGTGAGAACACGAACTACAGCAGATCCCAGAAGCCCTCCTTCTAGCCTGACCTGGGTTTTTATATAGATAGATAGATACATGGATAGATAAGTTTTTGCTGTGGGGCATGTTTGTTCATTGGTGACAGATAGAGGGAAAGTGAGAAATCATCCCCCTCACAAGGAGGATGGCCATGCCACAATCCCTTCTCCATTCTTCTCCTGGAATTCTGGGTGGGCACATATGTACATGTGCCAGACATGAGTTGCAAGACACCAGGTCAGGGAATCGAACCATGGTTAGTCATGTGAGAGCCCAGTGCCTCAACCACCATGCCACTGCTGGCCCCTTGACTCAGTATTTTATTTATTTAAAAGAATTTTATTTAACTTTATTTATTTATTTTTTACTTCAACCATAGAGGGATAGAGATAGAGAGAGATAGAGAGATAGAGAGAGAGAGAGAGAGGGAGAGGGAGAGAGAACATGCCAAAGTGAAAAAGCAAAGCAAGCCACCGAGTCTGGGACTCGAACCATGGTGGGTCATGTGGGAGTCTAGTGACCGTAACCACCGTGCCACCTGCTGGCTCCCTGACTCAGTATTTTAAAGAGGCCATGTTTGTGCATTTTCCCCACCATGGGATGCCCATGCAGGGACATCAAAAATATATGGAAAAATGAAATTAAACTACCAGTTCGTTTTGGTGCACAAAATGTTTGAGATCTGTGCATAGGTTTTTCATTATAGGCATTTTCCATGAACTTGGGAAGACACTCCACTGTGTTTGCACATGCATGCCTGTGCGCACTACTGTCTACTCTGAGTCAAGGTGAGTGACTGAAGCTAAGATGAAATTTTATTTTGTTCCTTATTAAACCTCTAAGGAAATTTTGTGTTTCAGACTGTAAAAATATTGTTTCAGACCATAAAATTCCGACTTTACATGATTAGCAGGAAAATGAAATTCAAGTTAATACTCATTTTTTTAAGAGAGATTTTGCTGTAGGGCAAGTGTGCTGGTTGGAGACACAGAGCGAGAAAGTGAGAAATCACCCCTCCAGAGGGGATGGCCATGTCGCAATCCCTTCTCCACTCTCCTCTATGGTTCTTGGGCACGCACGTGCACACATACCCAATGTGAGTTTTAGGGCACCAGGTCTGGCCATGTGAGACTCTAGCGATGTAACCATTATGCCACCTGCTGGTCCCACTCAATTTGTAATAAATCGGTTAACTACAAAATAAAAGACTAATTGTGGTTTTCTGAACTTTCCCAAGGGGAGAGCACAACTTTCTACTTTAGGGTATAAAGCCAAACTCCCTTTGTTGTGCATCCTAACTTACAATTCCCTTTGTTGTGCATCCTAACTTACAGTTCCCTGTGTTGTGCATCCCAACTTACAGTTCTTTGCTGTGTTTGGTATTTTAAATTGCTCAAACACTCTTATCCAGTAAAAAAGTAATAAACAGGGACAATGGTAAGGGATAGATGCACTGTTCATTTTATACTACATACCTGATCTATACTTGTTATTCAACTATTTATAAACCCTGGATCAGGAATAAGTTTATCTATACAAGCAAAGGATGCTAAGTTTCCTCAACTGTTCCATTTCCCCCTCCCACCTAGTCCTTCCCCAGTCACATTAAAAAAATCTTTTTTCTTTTTTCATGATAGAGCACGTGTGAACACATGTGAGGGAGAGAGCGAGATGAGCACCCTCCACAGTCTGCTCATGCCATGATCCCTGATCTCCCTTTCAGTCCTCCAGTCCATGGGGGTCCTGGGCAGTCACACATACGCCTGGCACGTTTCAGGCTGACCAGGCTGGGGACCCTGAATTCAGGGGCCATGTGGGATCTGACCTCTCCTGAATAGCGCATTAACACTGAGTCATGGAGCTGGACCTTCTTTTTTTTTTTAGGAATTATTTTATTTATGTATTTATTTTAATTGGACCAGAGAGGGACAGAGAGAGAGAAAATGAGAAAGCAAGCCGCCAGGTCCCAGACTCAAACTGTCATCGACCATGTGGGAGTCCAGCGCCCTTAACTACTATGCCACCTGCCAGCCCCAATGGAGCTGGACCTTCTAACTGTCTTTATGGAACTGATTGAAAAGTTTGGGGGTGGAGAAAGAAAGACTTGTTCATTCATGACAACTGCCCTACTCTGGTAAGAAAAGAAACTGTGATTCTGACAATGACATGTTCTCTTGATCTTTCCGGCCTGCACGTCAGAAATAAAAAGAAGCTCTGGGAAAAGATGTCAATGCGTGTCAACTCAGCCTCCACTCGGTTCACTAAGTCAGGCACATTGTTTTTTGATGGAAGACCTTTCCTGATTTATCAGAACCTCGTTTGTCTTAATTCTGAGTTTAGGAAATCCAATCTATCAAGTTACTCTTTCTTCATAAACTCTAGCGAATGATGCATTTTATCTACTTCTTTTAGTATACGGTCCTATGCGCTGATCATGAGCTCAAGCTAGTTTTGCAGCAAATTCCACATTCTTATACATGTGAAGGAAAAACCCTGCGTGTCTGGTCCTCAGTACCTACCGTTCACTGTGATGTCACAAATGGTTCGGATAAATAAGTGTGACAGTGTCGGGAAAAGCCTCCTCAGCTGATAAAACGTGACATTCAAACTGTAAGGTGAGAAATATTCCTTACCGCCTGTTGACAGTTCATGCCGAGGTTCCCCTTTTCCCCCCGAACTACTTTCATCAGACAGTGCAGGGTCCGCCCTTTCCGATGTAATCCGGAGCAGTGGTGCTCGATCTCCCCCCGGCAGCTGAGGATGATCTCAGGACTCAGGGAAAAGTCCTCCATCAGCATGCGTCGGTAGTCCAGCATCTCGCCCTGGCACTCGCTGCTCACCTGCCTCCCTGAGTCAGAACAGAAGCCACGGCATCAGCAAGGGGGAGCGTCAGGGTCAGAGAGCACACATACTCACGAACCACTTCCTCTCTGGAACAGAATGTAGCAGTCGTGCTAATGCCTAAACTGGAGAGCTTAGAACTTAGCAAAAGCTTCAATAGCCCAAAATGAGCTTAGACTCCAAAGAGTTGGGTTTGTCTTTTCGGAGTTCTGCATTATACAGATCCAACACTACTGAATTAATAATGCAAGTCTTTGCCAATTGAAGTGTTATCAATACGATAACTATTGGAGTTAATGAAAGCCAAAGAACAATTATGGCCTACATAATTAAAGTTTGCAGAAAGATTACACTTCAAATATTCACTCGAGTTCCCCCCACTTCTTTGAACTGTAAATGCAAACTGAAAAAAAAATTCGAGATTAAAATACAAAACAAAATAACATTAACAAAAGATCATGCTCCCCACCAAAGTCACACAGCCAGGTAGTTAGTGAAAAAGTCATAATCCCAAAGCTTGTGTGCTAAATCATGTTACCCTGAGTCTCCCAAAATGCTGCACAACATGCTTTTGGAAAACTAAAAATACTCAAAAGAGCAAATATAGGAAGAAACTAACATTTATAGATTCGAGAAGCTTTAGCATGTGATTCCAAAAAGGAATGAAAAGGATAAAAAGACACGAACTCTCACCTCTGTGCACAGCTGACTCCAGGCACATCAGAAGGTAGGAGAGCCTGGCTTCCCGGGACCGAGGGAGGTTTTCCACGTTGCATCGGTATTTTTTCAAGTCACTTTTACAGGATTTGGCTAATGAATAACTAACTTTATAATCCTGGGCAATCAGCTTTTGGCGGGTTGTTAGTGCTTCTCGACACTGAGGACAGAATGAAGAGAGAGAGTGGTCAGAACGCTCACAGAGCCCAGCTATTACAGGTACCTCTGGGACAAGCACGGAGACTCAGCCAAGTGCACACTGCAACTACAGTCATTTTTCTTTCTTTCTTTCTCGGAAGTAAGAGAGAGCGAGAAAGCACTCTTAAAGGGTCTCATGCCATGACTTCCTCTCTTTCCCAAGCCCTCTGAGGCACAGGATCATGGGCACTGCGCTTGGCCTTTACAGGTCAACTGAAAACCAAAACTTCCAGGTGGATCTAACATCTCGTGAGCAGCACATTACTGCTTTCCATCAAGTGGCCCCCAATATGTCTATCTTTAAGTTTACCAGCATGCTAAATTGGTGTGGCAAGAGGTTGAAACTGTCGCCATGATAGCTGTTGTCATAAACACTGGTAGAGCCCAACACAGTACCTTGACACAAAATACCCTTCAACAATACCACTAAAGTAAATTCTACCAGTATCAAAGTGGCAACTGTTAAAACACTTTGGATATTCTATTTTATACTTTTAAAATACAAGTACTCATAGTGAATGATATCGTGAGACTGAAATAACAAACACTGCAGATACACAGGATAGCAAAGGAAGTCATAAAAGATTTTTGCATGCATCCAGGTGAAGAAGGCTAGGGAACCAGCAGTTAGCGTAATGGCTATGTCGCTGGACTCCCACGTAGTCAACCGTGGTTTGCGTCCCGGACCCGGTGGCTTAAATCTCATGCCGGGCGCGTGTGCGTGTGTGCCCAAGATCCCGAGAGGAGAATGGAGGAGAAGGGATTGCGGCGTGACCATCCCCCCTGGGAGGTGATTTCTCGCTTTCTGTCTCTATGTCTCTCTCTGTCTGTCTGGTGAGCGCATGTGCCCTATAGTGAAAAACTTCTCAAAAAAATAAAAAAATAATAAAAAAAAGAAGGCTAGCAGTAATGACAACACTCAACGAGACAGCTGCTGAAATATGAAGTAGCTGAGTACCTACAAAGCACATAGGTTAGTCTAGCCTAACTTCCCGTGTTTGTCAGGCTGCTGGCAGTGTGGCCTGACACACCTTTTACTCCCAAAATTGATCCCCAGTTGGGGTCCCCTGTCCAGCTGCCATAATTAGAGCTTCATTTTCTTGGTATAAGGCAAATATGCTTTCACCACTCAAGCTCAAAGTATCTTACTTAAGAGAGTAAGCTTCATTAATCATTTACGTTTTGGCAGAAGATTTAAGAATACTGTTTGGGAGAAGTTGAGAAAGCTTTTAGGAAATGAATATAATACTGGTTTGCTTCAAAGTAATACGTACCTTTTCACTCATAGATTCTTCAAATTTATGGTTGAAGAGGCACTTATACACTCTGCCTTCACCAGCTTGTGTCTGTAAGACAGATGGTACATACATTTTTTTTATTAGCTAAGTAGTTATGCTGAATATTATCCACAGTCTAGTACAGAATTTTCTATTAAATTATTGTAATGGTGAGTACCTTTAGATAAACAGCTTAGCAGTTTATAGTTAACAGTCTTTAAAAGAAAACATTGACTGCAGTAAAGATGAAAAAAATATTCCCATGATGTTTGGCTACTGTCATTTTTCCCTCCTGGAGAATCAAGTGTCAGGGGGCTAGCAGATGGTGTAGTGGTTAAGGTGCTGGACTCCCTCGTGGCTGACTGCGATTAAAGTCCTAGACCCGCAGCTTGAAATTCATGCTGGGTACATGTGTATGCGTGCCCAAAATCCCAAGAAGAGAATGGAAGAGAAGGGACTGCGGCATGGCCATCCCCCCGGGAGGTGACTTCCCGCTTTCTATCTGTCTCTCTGGTGAGCACATGTAACCTATAGCAAAAAATCTCTCAAAAATTAAAAAAAAAAGGGGAGAAGTGTCAGAGTGAGGCTTCTTTCTTATAACTTCAGGCCAGCATCAATAAAACTCAAAATTCGGGGGCGCTGATGGTCACTGCCACCAATTCAAACAGCAGGGAGAGTGGAAGAATACACACGCTGTCTGAGTCCTGTGCTAGAAGGACAGAGACTCACCTATTAAAGGTGTCAGGGTGTTACCCGACAGGGTCAGCAGGTAATAATTATGGATTTGGTTTTAAAGGTAGCCACCTGCTGTCTTCTCTACCTTATCCAAAACCATAGAAATGTGTCATGTGTCAAACGTTCAGCCATCTGATAGATACGAACAGGATTCTCTGGTAAAATAAGACTCCTCTAGGTAATACAGACTTCCAAGAAGTGAAAGTGAGATGAAGTAGAAACAGTAACGTGTGGGGACTGTTGGGAGCCAGCTGTTAACTAGATGTGAGACCATCATGGCCGAGCGTTCTGTTATCCGGGACGGAGTCCATCTTCACTTCAGCGACTCTTCTGCATGTGAGGGGTTGCGATGGTTTCTTTGATCTTAGAATATTATATTATAAAATATTTAAAAAGAAAAGAAGAACAGCTTCTAAGCTGACTCACATTTTCACAAAAACGCTCTCGATCATCTCGGCAAGCAAAATATAAATGCCGGTCCAAATGAAAGTCATCGGAGGACAGCTCAGCGACCCGGAGGATGGCTTTCTTGCACCGTTCAGAAACTTGAACTTTGGGATCTTTTTCTTCTGCTTCCTTCACCAGGCCTTTCTCCAAGCATGATACCACCTCACCTTGTGAATGTGCATCCTAAAATAGCAAAGATATTCATAGTTTACAATTCTCACTGCACGGATTTCAAAGAAACATCATTCGGGGATGGGGGGAGAAGGAAAGGGAAAGAAAGAAAGAAAGAAAGAAAGAAAGAAAGAAAGAAAGACAGACAGACAGACAAACAAGAACCTATAGTTAGCTTATTGACATTTCATTGAGACACCAAGTGGGAACCAACCCATTGTGAAGTGCCAGATTACTTTTAGTTAGAAAATACTTGCATACTACTGATGAAAATGGACATCCTGAAAAATTTTAAGTATACAAATTTTTAGCACTAGAAACAGGAACCTAAATTTTTAAAGTTTAAAATGTCAGAAAATTAACATTAGCTCCATGCTCTGGTCATAGTTCATGTCAATACTGAAATACCATTGCAGAAACCCCTGTTCATTTACCTCTAAGAACTAGGCATCTCTTTCATTCAAGTTAGAAAACAAACCACAAAATCTTTTGAGGAAAGATTTTATAGAGACATTCCACTTTTTACGCACTATGCTGCCTGCAAACAATATGTACAATCTGTAGTGTAATACTCACTTTGAAATTCTGGATTTATCTTAATGTGATTTAACAAGATTACCATGGTTTATACATACTACTTTTGAGTTTTCCTAAAACCATCCAATTATCTTTAACTGTACACTGCATCATCCCCATGGCAACCACATTCATTCAGAGAAAATGTGAAACATTTCCCCTAAACATTTTCTATCCAACAGCCCTAATCCTCTTTACTCACAAGACATGCTTCAACAACTTGAGAGGTATGACCATTAAACAGCAGATGAAAAATGTAGCGCTTCCGTTCATTCAGACACACACACGTGCAATCTTGCTACAGTAAAATAATAAAGGGATTCCTAAGCTAGGTAAGGAAACATCTGTCGTAGGCAATATTTCAATTCAAAAGAAGTAGGTGTAAGGTAGATACTTTCCTCTTTACTCTGCAGGACTCGTTTTAACAGCACATTAATTTCCCAGCATTCCCTGAGAAGTTTCACACTGTCCCCTGCTGTATCTGTGAAGAGGGACTGAGCACTGATAGGGACCGTGCTCACAAGTAGAGGTTTGGAGGAGCTGAACAACTTATCTGAGTCACAGAATAGCAGGTGCCTAGCTAAAACCTACCATTTACTTTTTTAGACCCGGAGTTAATTTGGCTGGGTGGGTGGGTTCTACGAACTCCCAAAATGTGCCTGTGGGTTTTTTATCCTCTCTTGAGGAGAGTTCATAGTTCTCATTAAATTTTCAAAAGTTCTGCCGACCTGAATCTGTTTAGGAAGTACACCACACTGGCAGATTCTGAGGTCCTCTATTTCCCATCTGCACCTTTGCCTTTTCACTAGCTGTATGATGCTTTGACACCTGGGATGACCAAAAAGATATTTTAGAAAGAAATTCCAAACAGATAGACAAAACTCTGAAGAACGAGTGACAAAAAGATAAGGCCAGAGAAACAAAATTAGACACACACTCCAGAAACCCAGAGTAAGAACTATTTGGCACAAAAATTTTTCTGATTTTGGCCTACTTATGTAAGGTCCATACACTTCTACTTCCCACAGGAGAAGTGAAATACACGTGTGCTATAAAGATTTGGACGGAGGTGTCAGAAGGTGGTGCAGTAGTAAAACGTGACCGTCTGTGAGGCTGACTCACATGGGAAGGTTCCAGGTTCGTGTTTATAAACTCCCTGACTACTCCAGGAACACGCATGGCCAAATCCAGGGCTGACTGAGTTGGGGAGAATGAACATGGTGCCAGAACACTGCTGGGGGTGTTGTCTCTGTCTCTCCATCTCTGCCTCTCTTGCTCATGAAGGAAAGAAAGAAACTTAGAAAAGATGTGAACAGAGTGGCTGGCACGTGGCATAGTGATTGAGGTGCTGGACTCCCACATGGCTGACTGCAGTTCCAGTCCCAGATCTAGCAGCTTGCTTTCTCACTCTCCTCTCTCCTGTCTCTCCAGGCAAATTGAATAATAATTAATTAATTAAATAAATAATTCTTAAAAAAAAGAAAAGATGTTAACAGAAACATATTGCCACTTACTATAAGTACACGAAAGATTATCATCAACCTGAGAGTATAAAATGATGTCCCAAACCAAATTTTAGTAGCTCCTAATAACTCAAATTAGATGGCTACTAATAATTAGACTATTTTTCCCTTCAAAAAAAAAAAAATTAGATCTTCAAAGTCTACAGAAAGGACCAGCAAATGGCATAATGGTTACATCACTGGACTCCCACGTGGTTCAAGTCCCAGACTCAGCAGCTTGAAACTCACACCAAAATCCCAAGAGGAGAATAGAGGAAAAGGGACTGTAGCGTGGCCATCCCCCCCAGGGGGTAATTTCTTGCTGTCTGTCTGTCTCTGTCTCTCTGCAAACGCATGTGCCTTATAGCAAAAATCTATGAAAATAAAAAGTCCACAGAATCACATAGCTGCCTGCAATATAAAGGACTTGAGCTTCTTTCATCAGAAGATCTGGCAGACTGGATCGCACTGAGAGTCACTCTTGAAAAGGATCAGAACGAGGTTAAAAATACCAGTGTGACAGTTGACTCTTGACTAAAATTAAACCTAAACTCCTGCCATTATATGGCAAAGAAATAATTCCCACATAGTCTGCTAAGTGTTTCTCTATATACTTAGGGCTTATGTATTTTAAATATGCCACCTGTACTATTAATTATTTAGGTATATTTCTTAATGATTATACTTGTTTTGTATTAGATTCAAGATAGCATGGTCTGAAAATCTCCAAAGAATCTAAGATTTCATTTTTTCTAAGGATTTTTCCACAGGGTACATGTTCTCATCAGAAAGGAGAGAGGAGTGGGGGTAGTGAGAAATCAATCCCCAAGGGGGACAGCCACACCACCATCCCTTCGCCTCCATTCTTCTCCTGGGATCTTGGCCACACACATGCTTGTGTCCAGTGTGATTTTCATCTGTCAGTCCAGGACTTGAACCGTAGACAGCCGTATGGGAGTCTAGCGCCTTAACAACCACATGACCTGCCGGTCCCTAAGATTTCATTTTAATTATATTAATCATAGGACTACACATTGGTATTAAGTTGTAACATACTTTTTCTTTCAAAGAAGTATTTTATTTAACTTTATTTATTTAATTAATTTATTTTAATTCAACCAGAGAGGGACGGAGTGAGAGGGAAAGAAAGAGAAAGTGAGAAAGCAAGTCTCCAGGTACGGGACTCAAACAGTGGTCAACCACGTGGGAATCCAGCTCCCTTAACCACCAGGCCACCTTTCGGTGCCTGTGTAATGTAAGTTTTATAGAGACAACTCAGAGAGCTGGTGGGGAGCAATAGGCAAGAACTACTGTGAAGAGAGGAATGCATGGACCCTAATCACAGAAGTGAAAAAATGTCATTGCTGATTCCTGAAAAGTACGTCTGGAACACTGTGGAGATTTTGTAAGGAGGGAGGTCTGGAAATGGATCTGATTTGAAGCATTCTAAATAAAGCCGGAGGAGCTTCCTGAATCATCAGGGTTACTTAAATGCTTTTGTGCCATTTTTAGTCTGCTGGGAAGGAAAAATCTGCCTCCTTTATTAAAACTGGCCTCTCTTTAGTTGCCTGAAAGCTTTATGCCAAGCTCAAAGAGCAAGCAGAACCGACTCAGAGGTAGCCTACAGAACAGGCCAGGGCCCTGGGCTGAAATGAAGGCAAGGCCATCAGGGCTTCAGTATGGCCAGTCCCCTGCGATAAGCCCTCATGTGCACTGGAGTGCTCTGTTCCATGTCAGTGACAGACTGCTGCAAACCATGAGCAAACAAGGCAAAGAGACAAGAGGGTTTTGTTTTCTGTCACATTTCCTAAATAGCCAATTAAGGAGCAGCAGCAATTAACAGCTGATGCCACAGGTCTCAGACAACCCCTCCAATGGCATCTGTTACTTTTCAGGAGTTTCTTCCACCTCTTCTGAGGAAACAATGAACCTGGCAAAATCTCCACTGGGACCTTCTGTTTATCACACTACTGACTCCAGAAATACAGCAGGATGAAATAACTAGTCCGGTAGTTACTATCTTTCCTGTTTTTACCAAAATTGGTTCTTCAGAGATAAAGATATAACATACCACATTACAGAGCACCTTCTTAGGACAAGCTAGAAGTATTATACCTTCACATATATTTTTTTAAGAATTATTTATTTATTATTATTATTGTTAATATTATTTTTCACATGAGTTTTGCCGGAGAAAGAGGGAGAGTGAGAAAGCAAGCTGCCAGGTCCGGGACTCAAACCATGGCCAGCCATATGGGAATTCCAGCACCTTAACCACCACGCCACCTGCTGGCCCACCCTCACATATCTTAAGGCATTCTAATATTCTGGGGCTGGCAGGTGGCACAGTGTTACGGGTGCTGGCCTCCCACATGGCCGACTGTAGTGGCTTGCTTTCTCACTCTCTCTCTGTCCCTCTCTGGTCAAATTAAAGTAAATAAATAAGTAAAGTTTTAAAATAAAATAATTCTTTCTTTTTTTTGGGGGGGAAGAGGTTTTTGCTATAGGGCGCGTGCACTCGCCGGACAGACAGAGAGAGACAGAGAGACAGAAAGCGATAAATCACCCCCTAGGGGGATGATCACGCTGCAATCCCTTCTCCTCCACTCTCTCGGGATCTTGGGCACACACACACACATGTGCCCGAGTTTTAAGCCACCGGGTCCGGGATGCGAACCGCGGTCGACTATGTGGGAGTCCAGCGACATAGCCATTACGCTAACTGCTGGCTCCCAATAAAATAATTCTTTAAAACAAAAGACATTCTAATATTTAAGTACCTCCTCTTACAGGTGGAGAGTAACAAGTGTCTTTGCTAAGTAACTTTTTTTTAAGAATTATTTTATTAAATTTTATTTATTTTATGTATCTATTTTTTTTTTTTTGAGAGGTTTTTGCTATAGGGCGTGTGCGCTCGCCAGACAGAGAAAGACAGAGAGATAGAAAGCGAGAAATCACCCCCCAGGGGGGATGGCCACGCCGCAATCCCTTCTCTATTCTCCTCTCGGGATCTTGGGCATACATGCGCATGCGCCTGGCATGAGTTTAAGCCACCGGGTCCGGCACGCGAATTGCAGTTGACTACGTGGGAGTCCAGCGACATAGTCATTACGCTAACTGCTGGTCCCAGTATCTATTTATTTTAATTTGACCAGAGAAGGGTAGAGAGAGAGAGAGAAAGTGAGAAAGCCACCAGGTCTAGGACTCAAACAACAGTTGGCATTGTGGGAGTCCAGCACCTTTAACCACCACGCTACCTGGCAGCTCCGCTAAGTAACTTTTTACGGTAACACTGATGCATACACAGAGAAATTATAGGGAACTCATGTCTCTCTTTGTCAGAGGTGTACTACAGATAACAAGCAAGTAGCGTTTTGATGGTAACACCACTCTTATATTATTAATTCCTCTACTTCCTAAACACTACTGAAACATTTTGCTATAAACACATAAAGAACATTCACTAGTCAACTAGTCTTACATCTTCCAGCTGTCTAGACAAGTTGCTTTAAATTTTAACTTTAAGGTCATCTCCAGTCCTAAATTTTTCCCATGTCAGTCATGCAAAAGCTTATCTGTTGCCAAATTTATAAGACCCCTTTGGTGAAGCCAATGTAGTGGATACCTTTTCCCCAAGCCGAATGCTGCCACATTTCAGAATGTTGATGTCATTTTTGCAGTCATCCATGAAGCCACAGATTAGGCGGTAGTCACTGAAAATAATGGCTGTCATCTTGGTAATGTACTGGTGACACTGATACTCGGTGATGTTGCCTCGGTGGTCCACCAAGCAGGAGACCATGTAACCTTTTCCAACCGGTTCATCAGCACATTCTTTAATCTGTTCAAAAAATTATATAATTATAATAATATATATTATCATAATATATATTATAATAGCAAATGCATATATATTTCCTTTTTTTTTTTGGAGAGGTTTTTGCTATAGTGCGCGTGCG